TTCTCTGTTCATGCACATTCATAACGTTTGTCGCGACCTTTACCTTTAAGACTGGGTTTATCTAAATGATAAATTCTTGACTCACTTGAGTATGTTAACTATGTCACCTGAACCCATTCCATTCCTGGCCTGTGATTCCTCCTACAGAACTGCTGTCAGATCTTTGTGTCTTTCTCACGTTATGGACGTGCATTCTTGGAGTAAGTGGGAGTGTGACCGTCATGAGGTGCTCGGTGGGTCTGTCATTCAGGCGAGGCAGCAGGTTGGAGGCAAGCCGTCAGAGCACGCCTCTGGGGCGTCGGTGGAATGCAGAGGGTGGCCGCTATGCCCTCATGCCTTCCCGGCTCTCTCTCATGGAGTCTGCAGCTGCTGTGGTTGGACTTCTTACACAGCCCTTCTCCGAGAGAGCTCCCTCTGGAGCCTCTGAAAGACGGTGTTCCCCTCGCCAAGTTGCATGAGGGTGTCCACTGCTTCTCCCGCTGGCAGAGCCATGGGGCTGCCTGGGCCGCTGTCCACCTTGGTCTTCAGTATCCCATCCTGCCATCTGCCTGCTGCTCCCTTCATGCATCATGTCTGCATCAGATTCCTTAAGCATGTCACATGAGATGTTTAGGACAGAAGTGCTAATGCTAAAACCAAACAGGTTTTGCATTATTTTTTAACTTAAAAAAATTGGACCTTTTTTTAAATATCTTTTTTGCAAGAGAGGCTAATAATACACTGATGCAAAAGTGACTTTATATCAGGAAAACAAACATGAATATTTGGCCAGGAGGAGAAAGTAATATAACCCTGACCCTTTGTGGGTAATGTGAGGGTAAAAAGCTAATAGGTGACCGACATACAACTGAAAACAGTAACCTGGGACTGTCAGAGCAGAGACTGTGGCCCTGCTGGGAGAGAAGTTTCTTTCACTGAGAGAAACGCCCGTGGAAGTCAGCTTGGCAGTCAGTTACTGGTGACTGTGTCTCAGGGGTTCCTCTGTTCTGTTTTTTGGTCAAATGATCACATTTTGTTTGTCATGTTTACTTTGCTGTGTTAAATATTTCATTTCGCTGAGTTCTTCCCAGAGTCTCCTCTATTTGTATGGTAGAATTGATAGCCCGTATGTGCTTTCAAGAGCAATACCAGCTGAAGTAATTTAAGATAGAGAATTGTATTAGTTTTCTAGGGTTGCCATACTGAAAACCCAGTGGTGTAAGACAACAGAAATTTTTTCCTTGCAGTGTGGAGGCCAGAAGTCCGAAATGCAGGTGTCAGCAGGGGTGGTCCCTTCTGGAGGCTCTTTGGGAGAATTTCTAGCTTCTGGGGTTGCCAGCAGTGCTCGCCGTCCTTCAGCTCCAGTCTCTGCCTCTGCTGTCACTCGGCCGTTGTCCCTTGGCTGCTGTCACCCGCCATCCGCCCGTGTCTGTCCTGTGTGGCCTCTCCCCATATAAGGTTTAGGGACCATCTGGTTAATCCAGGATGATTTTGTCTTGAGATCCTTCATGTAATTGTATTTGCAAAGACCCTCATATTCACAAGTTCCAGGGGTTAGGACTTAGACATATTTGAGGGGGCCACTATTTAACCCAAGGCAGTAATAAATATTTCTGGTTTAGTACAGTTTTTAAGATTCTGATTTCAAGCAATTGGGTGGGGATGGATGCTGCAGTTTCCCCTCCTATGCAAAATCCTAGAAATGATTTTTTTAAAAGGTATATATTATCTTAAATACTGTAAATATACATTGTACTTGAGAAAAAATGGGGAGCGCAACTCTCAGTGTCTTGGTGCACCCGACAGGGTAAGGAGTCTGTGAGACACGCTTGCATGGTCTGTAGCCGAAGGGCTTCCCAGTGGGGAGAGTGTGGGGTGGGGAGAGTGTGGGGTGGCTGCAGCAGGGGGCTCCTCCCAGGGACAGCCTCGGGGTATTTACTTGAGAAATGCAGTAGGAGCAACCAACCGACAGAACACGTGCTGGGCATCCCTCCCTCCCCCAGGCCGTGGAGGTATCTGACGCCAGCACGGAGCAGTGATGTGGTCAGGCAGCACCATAGGTGGCCGGGGTGCCCACAGTTCCAGATCTGGGATACACACGGGCCAATAGCACAGCCCACCTATTCCCCATCTCTCCCTGAGGACCAGGCAGGGGCACCCAGGCAGCAGTGTCTGCCCCTCCCCCAGCCAGGGCTTAGTCCAGCAGGAGTCCCTGCCTTCTGGGCACCTTTAAGAGACATCGGATGCTGATGGGAACGCCCCGCCCTGGAGAACTTATCCATGAAGAAACACTAATTACACAGATCACAGCAGGACTAAGTATCATCCTGAGACATTTACACCTGAAATGATAGCCGGTCTGGGATTTATGTCAAAATAATTGAAGTGAGTCCCTGGCCAAGAAACGGGTGGAGAGAGAGATGAGGTTAGATGGGTCATGAGTTGATGATCGTTGAATGATGAATTGCCACCCAGAATGGAGGGGAGGGTAGTAATGAGGTTAATTCCTTGTCTCTTACAGGCAACTCAAAACAGAGGTATGTGCCTGGGTTTTTTGTTTTGGTTTGGTTTGAATTATAAAATTAGCAACCAGAACAAGTGAAGATAGAAATAATGAAAATTTACCCAATTCTCAGGCGTGATATTGGCAAGGGAGACTTTTCATTTTATACTTGGTTTTTTTTTATTAGCACAAATTACCTTTATAAATATTAAAATGTAAATCATTCACAAATGTTGGTAATTTTTCTTACTAATTACAAAACTTCTGTGACTTGTCTTACAACATTACAGTTACGAACTGCTGATTAACCATTTTCAAACCCGGAGGTTTAACCCTCCCTTGTCTTATTTCCTAGAATTGGGTGGAAATGATTGGAAGGTGATAGCCCATCACAGAGTATTGTGCTGACCCGAGAAAGGTCTGGGGATGACGCTTAAGACCATGTTGTGTGGCTCTTGAGAAAAATGTCACCAGTTGTCTAATGGGTCATCACTAGGGTGAGGATCCTAAGGTGGGAAAAGGTGAGGTCACCCTTGGGCAGTGTTAAAAGCCGCAGGCTGACGTCAAGGCGCGAGTTAGGAGAAGAGAGGAGCTTCTTTCCTCGGCCCTTGGTTATTTCTGTCAGGAGATGTTTTTTTTTAATTGAAGTCTAGTTGATTTACAATATTGTGTCAGCTTCAGGCGTACAGCAGAGTGATTCAGTTACACATATATCCGTACGTATCTATTCTTTTTCTAATTATTTTCCACTGTATGTTATTACAAGATAGTGAATACAGTTCCCTGTGCTATACGGTAGGTCCTGCTGTTTACCTGTATGTCAGGAGATGTTTTTGATGGTTCTTCCCCACACGCATCCTTGCCTTGGTTGGAAATGGACGTGGGGTGTGGGGAAGCCATGCACCTTTGGTGGGTTTATCAGAAAGACATTCCCGAGAGAGAGGGTGACAGGGTTCTGGTGGAGTGCCGAGCGGTGGGCGTGGAGGGCTGAGAGTGTCGCCTTCGTAAGTCAACACGGTTGAAATGTATAGAGGTCTGTGCTTCCTTCCTGTACGTCTGTCCCCTGGGCCTGTTGCCTCCCTTCAGACGGCCCAGCCCTCCCAGGGCAGAGTCAGGGCAGAGCACACGTGGGCGCTTGCCCAGTGCCCCTCGCTTGCCTGCGCCTAGCCGGACACGGCTCCCTCTCCCAGGAGATACCGGGCAGCTCCCTTGTCTCCTGGTGCCTGGTTTCCTTTCTGCGATGCTATTTCTGGAGAGCAGTGTACTTCTGCTTTCCCTTGATGCCTTTGTGATTGTAGCTGGAAAAGCTGTTCCCATTTGAAATCTTCTGCCTTCAGTGTTTGAATCAATGACAACAAACCACTGTGAGATACAGCCAGGATCAACCCATTTCTATGAATTGGTATTATTTAACGCCTGCCACTGAATGTTAAGTTGTTTGTTTTTTCTAAATGCACTTTTGCTTGTCTTCATGATTTACGACTATTGCCAGTGTTCTTTAAGTCTATTCTGATGGTGATAAATGGATTCATTTGGGAAAATCAGCCGTTTTGATTAAAAGTGAATACAGGTTAGTGGAAGGAGCTTGTGTACAATTTTCTTGTCAAAAAGTGGCGACGAGGCAGCCAGCAGGGTTACTCCCTCGGCTTTGAGTATCAGTCCCTGGCCCTCCGCTAGCCAGCTCATCTCCACAGAGCCCCTGCTTGCTGTCAGACTGAAAACAATCCAGCTGTCAGTGTGCTGAAAATAAAAATTGTGTGCATCTTTAGTTTTGAGGGGGTGGACTGCTTTTCGCGTAGTCTTATTTATTTTTTACTACAAGGAAGAAATTTTTTTAAAAATGTGTTCAAGTTGTTTAGTTATCACCTTATGATTTTATTTTCTTATTTTATCCAAATGAAAAAAAAAGAAAAAAATGGGAAAGCTTTGAATTAGATGTATTTAAGTGGAAAAAAGAAATGTTTTACTTCATCTGGCTTCAGTTAAGTGCCTTAACAGGTAGCATTAGTTGGTTGATGCTTAGTAAGGAAATACAGTAGTAGTTCCAGTTAAGACTTTGGAAGTATGGGGACAAAGAGAAATGTTGAGTTTACTCAGCACTGGGTCAGGGATATAGCAGATCATTAGTATTAGGTATCATGTTGTCACATTAACTATTTTCCAGAGTATAAACTATAAAACTATAAGTTTTAAAGTCTGAAACTACCTTGGTTGAGCATTTCAAAATCCTTAGACGATTCTAAAACTTGTGCATCACTACCTGATACAGCATTCTGAGAAGAACCAGGATAAATCTCAGGTTTCTCAAAACAAGCAAAAAACGTAGACATTAGCCTTGTAATTTCAAACCTGTGATTTGTTGCTTTGAAAATTAAGGATTGCTTTCAGAATTTAACATGATTTTTATTCTGGGCTCCTGAATTGAAAACCAAATATTTCTTTTTTCTTTTTAACAAAAGAAAATCCAGATGAAGAAACCCCTGTAAAAATATTTTAATAAAATGTATCTTTATTTCAGTATCTTAAATAGTGAAGATGAAGAAATATTCAATAATGAAGAGCATGAATATGCATCCAAAAAAAGGAAAAAGGACCATTTTAGAAATGACAAAAGTACTCAGTGTAAGAACATTTTCATTAATAATTTCATATTTACTTGTTGAATATGTTGATAAATTGAATTGCATTGACAGTGCTATATTATGACGTAAATGCTGATACAGTTATATACGTAGCAGCACTGTATCCAGAGTTGCCCACTGACTTAGTGGTCAGATATTTGCAGCTCAACCATTTAGTTTAGTAAGTCATTAGTAAGATTTGCTACAGTGAAACCAAAGACAGGAAAACCTACAAAACAGCCTCTGTGTCTGAATGTTGAATAGCAGTCCTGAATTCAGGTCCATTCACTCCCAAGCAGTAAGGCCGAACCTTAGGGACCTTGACATTGGGCTTTGCTGCAGGAGACGCTGCTGATTCGGAGCCGAAGGTAGACATGGTCAGAGCTGGAGCCATGCAGGCGGGATGGGGATGGGGAGGCTCTGAAAGGGCCCCTGTGCAGATGCCCAGACTTGAGTCCCTGAGACCCTGTTAGTGAATTCAGTCGTGCGCCCTCTGGAGGCCGCCGTGGACAATGTACTCGTGATCCTCAAAGCTCTGGGATGTGAGTTACTTGGAAAGTGTATTTAAGTGGAACACACCATACGGGGCCATGAAAGAGGAAGAGAACTTTTATTAGGGTGTATACCAAATGCACTTTTATAGCCATTTATGTTTGGATATGACTGAAGTCACTTGGTGACACTATTTTCTTCCAAGTTACCTAGACGTGGTACTGTCATAAATCATCTTTCACGTAAAGATGTTTCAGTACCCCTTAAACTGATATTAGGAAACGAAGCAATTCTGGTTGCATTTAGCCAAGTCAAAGCATCTCTTATCTATATGATGTCAGATAATTTTGTTAGCATGTGCCACTGTTGAAGTTCCTTAAAATCTTCATTTTGTAATGATTCACCAGCTTTTAAAAACAAAGTTAATTTTTATTCTAGGTTTTTATCGTGAAAAATGGATCTATGTCCATAAAGAAAGCACAAGAGAAGTAAGTATTCTATTATAAATAAGAGTATGTTTTGTATTGTTACTGTTGAATATGTGATGTTACATTAAATTGTTTCTTTTGCAATATCACACGTGTGTCCACATTCTAAGAGGTGAAAGCATAAGAGGGTCTTGAGACAGTGTTTCGTGTGTGTGGTGTATGTCAATGCCCTGTACGAATCTGAATCAGCGGAGGGCTGTTTCAGGAGAAGTATGGCCCCTCAGGTACTTTGATATTTCCTCCCCTGCCCTCCCCAAAAGCTGTTCATAGTGAGCCTCTGGTACTAGTACGGCTGTGTCTTGGCTCTCCTGTGTTTTGGGTTGGTGAGAACAGTTTGTAAACCCATTTATTTTGTAGAGTAGTAGCTAAGGTGATGGTAGTTAAGCTGGAATCTGCAAAGAGCAGTTGAGCCCTGCCTGCCTTTCTTTTGCGAAAGGTCTGTTCACCTCAGCTCTGCATGTTTCCTTTTTCTCTTGGTGTCTGGAGAAGCTTGCTTCCATCTGTTGTCTGAGAAAGTCTGCATTGGCCTTATTTTGCAACAATGGGGGGAAATATTCGGGGAGCAGTTGTTTAGCACATGGACTATGTTAGCGTAAGGTAGGGTTCCAGAGGTGTTAGCAGTGGGTGTTCCGAAGCCAGCCCAGCTTCCTAGAAGCTTAAGGATTAGATTCTGAGATAGAAAATTTATCCGACCTGTTTGGCGATGGTTAACATTGTTAAATGGGTATGGAACCACTCTAACCCGTGACATACACTCCAGTACACCATTGGAAGGTGTTTGGCGAATCTGACTGAGTTTGAGCTTATGAAAGACTGTTAGACATTTGGACTTCCCTGGTGGTGCAGTGGTTAAGAATCCACCTGCCAATGCAGGGGACACGGGTTCTAGCCCTGGTCCGGGAAAATCCCACAGGCCGTGGAGCAACTAAGCCCGTGCGCCACAACTACTGAGCCTGTACTCTAGACCGTGAGCCACAACTACTGAGCCTGCATGCCACAACTACTGAAGCCTGTGCGCCTAGAGCCTGTGCTCTGCATCAAGAGAAGCCACCGCAATGAGAAGCCCTTGCACTGCAACAAAGAGTAGCCCCTGCTCGCCGCAACTAGAGAGAGCCCGCGCGCAGCGATGAAGACCCAATGCAGCCAAAAATAAATAAATAAAATAAATAAATTTATTTTTTAAAAAAAGAAAGAAAGACTGTTAGACATTTCATTTGCTGGGTGTCACCACACTGATTACAGAACAGAGGTCCAGCTTCGGCTGCACACGCGGCAGAGGGGGAACTTGCGGTGGGTCTGCGGGGTGTTGCGTGGGTCCTGGGAACCGGCACAGGCAGGCACAGGAAGGGGCCAGGACTCGGAGCTGGTCCCATCTCTCTCCGCATCACATCACACCTTTGGTCTTCTCACCTGGGGCCCACCAGGTGTTTGCTGCTTGTGTGCTTCAAACGTGTGATTTTATTTACCCCCAAAGAAGAGGCTGTTGTGAGATGGGTGGCTGCCTGGAAGGAACACCAGTGTTTGGAATTCTGTTCACTGAGAAAGAGAATAGTTACCGGCTGTGATTGATTTCAGGTTGTGATTGATATCCAGTTAATCTTGGCTTCCTGCACAGCTCCCAGGAAAATATTTTGTACTTAGTGGATATTCAGTAAAAATACATAATGAATGTTTTAAATAAGTGTATCTTGTTGGCTTGTGCGCACATTGAGAGTTTTGTTGGGATTTGGATGTAAAACCAAATCAGCCCTCATGGTGCGTCTTCTGTCAGAGACTAAGGATTTCCCCTCCAGCTCCCCCTCTGGCCCCTCTCCTGTCCTCTGTTTGAAATGTGAGACGTGTTTGTCACCTCATGTTCTCTGTGATTATTCCCCACTTTATCTATACCCACAACTCTGCATTGAAGATCTCTTTATGTTCTAAGTATTCCAATACAGAAGATCGAGTTTAAAATGTCTTCTGAAACCTGGGGTAGAGATCTGTACAAACCAGTATGGAATATAGGGCATATCACTGCCCACGGTCACATCCCGTCACCTCTAGCGCTTTGCACCCACATGCTGGTATTCAGAACCCCACCCCACTCAGGTGCGTCTCGGCCTTGATCCTGAGCGGCTGGGCGTACGTCCAGGCCTGCAGGCACACAGGACTCCCCACAGAGGAATCGAATTCCAACGTGTAGTTTATAGCAGATGCTTCTTCATAGTGGCCAAGCATGATTTATGTATTTGTAGTTGCACAGCCTAGAATACATCCAGTTATTTTATGATTTTAGGCTTAATTTTGTCCTCCCCCAAATGCATGCCAACAAAGGAAATTGACAAATATTTAATCAATATTTATCCTTGTCATTAAGTGGTGTAGAAATGTCAATGCATAGTGTCTTGATTATACATAAATGACTTAAATTTAGCATTGTTTTAATTTTACTCTGTTTTCAGCTAAATATGGAATCGATATAATAAAAACGAATATCCTTTGCCAAAATTAAAAAAGAAATTGTGCAGACTAATTCACGTTAACCGTTAGCTCGTTTTGACTCATGACTCATTTGACAGATTTTCACTTGTGTCTGTTTTTCCAGAGACATGGCTACTGCACTTTGGGAGAAGCTTTTAACCGCTTAGACTTCTTCAGTGCGGTCCAGGACGCCCGGAGGTTCACTTACGTGGCCAGAGTGAGTATTTTATTTCAGAGTCACTGGATGACACTTTGGAGCGACTGCGTTTTGAGGATTATCATGTGAAATATTTAAGATGCTTTTGACAGCTGCGTGCAGTTGTGCTCTTCGCTGGTAGAGAACCCCCGGGGGCGGGCAGTCGGGCGAGGCTCTGGGCTGGCGCTGGGGCTTCTGCAGGCCCCACAGGGGCAGGGGTGTGCTCGCCGCCTGTCGTGCTGTCGGAGGTGCAAAGAGGAGGCAGAAGTTATCCTGGAAATCCGTACCCGGTGGTTTCACATGCATTTTCTACTTTGTGTTTTTCACGGAGTATGATCCCTGCTTAATAGAGGGACAGTGGGCTAACAGAAAGAAGGAAATTTATGTGGAATGGAACTCCACAGAAGCCTTATTGTGTTAATAACATGTTTTTAGAGGAAATTTTTGTCTTGGCCTACATTCAGAAAGGAAAGGATCTTGCCATGTATTCCATTTACTGTCTGCTTTTATTTGCCTAACAAACTTATTCACCTTCTTACTATTATAGGCAAAGAGTAAGTGATGGGTCACGAAGCCATTGATTTTGGATTTTTAATGGTGCTGTGAGACTCTGGAAAGATATTCTTTGTAATGCCTGCTAGGCATTTGGAAGTGCTACCGGAAGGACAGAAAACTGGGTGGTTAAATGATTTTAAGCCCGAGTGTTTGGTTTGGTTCCAGTCAGAGTTTGCCAGGCATCCATGTGACCAGCACCTGGGGTTCCTAGCCACGTGCTCCCTGCAGCCTCGCCGGGTGGGGGCTGTGTGGAGGCCATAGTCCCTCCGAGGGTTTGAGTTCTCCCAGGTACCTGTGCACCAGACAGGGGCCTCCACAAGCTACCTCTTCCCTCCAGGCGACCGAACTGGAATTTGACTCCACTTTGTAGAAATGCCAAGATTTGAGTATCCAGGAAAACGTGTGTCAGCAGAGAGGTCTGTTACACAGTAAGCGTTTACCCACGTGCTTTTTGATAGTTCAGATCATGCTTAGTTGTCTAATACCAGCCACTCTGGACCACAATCCACACAAGGGATTTTACTCGTGGGGGCGTGAGAGAGACTCTGGGGCAGGATGGAGATGCGGGAGGGAGGATGGAGACGCGGGAGGGAGGACGGAGACACAGGAGGGAGGACCGAGCCTCCTGGTTTCAGTGCCGGGCTTTCTGCTTATCTTGCTGGTCCAGGCCCTTGGTTTGCTGACCAGAGAAGGTCTGAGCGTTCTGTGCTCTGTGTCCTACTGAACCTGGTCAACTGAACAGCCTTGGGATCTTTGTTTTGTACGCATGCCGATCTCTTTTTCACTGAGGAGCCTTTCTTCAGACGTTGTCCTCATCCTACACAGTAGTACCTGGCAGATCGTAGACTTTCTCTGCTGGTTCTTTTGTAGTATGTGTAAAAAAATACGTAACTAAAAAGTAAAATGTGTGGTGTGTCCACGTGCTAACGCGTGAAGTGGCGTTTCTCTGCATCGCCTCTAGAAACGGCCGCCGGGGCTGGTGGCTTTGGCAGCTGCTGAGGCCGCTGTGCGAGGCCCACCAGCACCACTGGGCCCTCCCACACGGCTGGCCTCTCTCTGTGGCACTTCCGTGATGGCCAAGTGCTCCCGCCAGGTGGGGCCTCCCCATCAGGGTTCCTTGCCTCCTCACCCTCCTCCTGCCCCTGCTTCCTGCTCCTTCAAACCCTTCCCGAGGCCAGTTACCTTCCCAAACTGATCTGCTTATGTCTTCCTTCTCCGAAAGACAAAGACAAATGAAGCCAGCTGTCAGTGACTCTGTGATCAGGTCCACGTGCCGTGGCCATGGCGCGCTGTCCCCTGGCCCTAGTGACTCTGTAATCGGGTCCACGTGCCATGGCCATGGCGCGCTGTCCCCTGGCCCTAGTGACTCTCTCTATCGGGTCCACTTGCCGTGGGCATGGTACGCTGTCCCCTGGCCCTAGTGACTCTGTGATCGGGTCCACGTGCCATGGTGTGCTGTCCCCTGGCGCTGGTGACTCTCTGTGATCGGGTCCACGTGCTGTACTGTCTCCTCTCCCTTCCCTTTCCTCCTGTTGCCTCCCCAGCAGGCCTGATGCCCCCACTTGCTTTCTTTTGATCGTGCTCTGTGCCTCACCTCTGGGTGACATGTCCCCCTGCACTTGCTGCCACCTTGTCTGTGGGGGTGGGATCCCCTCTCCCTCAGCACCCCACCACTGGGGTGGAAACACTGCTTTGCAGGTCTGTTAGCGCATCATCGTGCGGTCAGTACCCCTGAATTGCATTGAATTGTAGTTGGCCTCAGTGGCTGGAGTGGTGTCCTTGGCACCTCTCTGCTGCTTTCATGTTTACACCACACTTACCAGGACAGTGAGGGTCTACTGCAGTTCTTCTCAACAAGACAGTTTCCCATAACTTGTGCTGTGTTGTCCAGATGGCCACTCCTTCATATTAGAAGAGCTGTAGATATACACGCAGTGGTTTTGAAATGACTGATGAAAGAGTTTCCTTACATTTCGGATGGCATGCAGTAATATTTCCTCTAAGAATTTATATGAAAAAAATTAGTTTTAATATTTTATATGAAATCCCTTTGTTTATCTAAAATTAGCATTTTAAACTATAACTATAGTAATATAGTTATATAGTTATAGTAATATACTATAAACTATAGTAATCTATAATTACTACATAGTTTTGGAATAAAAATTAGTATTAGAGTTTAGTGTTCAGTATAAATTGTTTTAGTTGTCAAAATAAAAATAAGTAGTTTGGAATGGAAGTTTAGTCTTTATTCTCCTATACTTTGGCAGGAATGGAAATTTGACATCTTCTAATTACACAAATCCAAATTAAATTGTCTCTTCCACATCCTGTATATGAAATAAGCCACTTTTGGTATTGTCTGTTTAAAAATATTTGAAACGTCTTCATACCTAGGTTACTTTTGCAATTTTTCAAAATTTTAGTCTGATTTTGAGGAATAAACATTGTTTTTCCAAGCTGCATTCACTCAACTTTTTTTTTTTTTTTTTTTTTTTGCGGTACGCGGGCCTCTCACTGCTGTGGCCTCTCCCGTTGCGGAGCACAGGCTCAGCGGCCATGGCTCATGGGCCCAGCCGCTCCGCAGCATGTGGGATCCTCCTGGACCGGGGCACGAGCCCGCGTCCCCTGCATCGGCAGGTGGACTCTCAACCACTGTGCCACCAGGGAAGCCCCTCACTCAACTTTTTAAAGGAGAATAGAGAACTAGTTTCATGTGCCGTGTTCCTCAGAACGTGGCACCTAATTTAGGGTCACTGTTGAATCACATAGGCAGTTGCCTGCTGGCGCTGGTGGGAATCGTAAGGAAACCTGTAAACATGGGGTTGTGAGCTGCGCCCTCAGCACTGTGGTGGGATGGATGAGTGCATGGTCTCTCACACGCTCCTCGTGCATTCGGCCTGTTCTTAAACCTCATTCACGTTACGTTTTGTCCACCTGGCCACGGATAAGTCCAAACACCACTTCTTGCTCTGGGCTAACACGTGCGTAAACACACACACCGCCTCTGCTGCTGAGCTTCGTCTGCACACTTGTAAATAGTCGTGTTCTTCACCACTGTTCAGCAGAATTTGTGTTACAAATGTAATGCTGTGTATTTAGTTTCAGACTAGTTGGTAGTCAGCGATATGGCTATTATGTTAAACTGCTGTTAAAACTATCTTATAATTCACAAAAAAATGCTTATTAATAGATTGAGAATGTTGTCTTGCCCGGCTACTGAAAAGCCCTTAGCATAATTTATTGAACTATTAAATTATTTCCAGAAAATCAATAAAACTGGTCTTTACTCACTAGTAATTTTTCTCTCCTTAACTGATTATTTGCAGTTATTATTTTGTAACATGTGCTGAGAAACTTCCTTATTGGGGGAAAAAAAATGACAGTCAAGATGCAGTTTAGATTTGGCCCTGGTGAGTGGACAGTTCTTAATATCTGGTCCGTAATTGAGCTTACTTCTCATTCATACCATTTATATGTAATGTATAAGTAAATTAAAAGCATTTTTGGTCAGTTTTAGGACCTTACTTTCATTAAGATAGATCAAAGACTTAAATTTGGTGGAATTTTGAAAATTTTAAGTAGAAAAATTAACCAAAGACTTGGAATTATTAGCACATATGTAGTTATTTCACCGCAAAGGGGGAGATTTATAGCAGAGTTGGTATTTTAAAAGGCCTTTGAAGTGGGCTTTTAGCTCTGTGTCATGATAGGAGACTGAATGTCAGCATCTTTACCTCCTGTCTAGTAGTTGTTGTCCCCTGGTCTGAGGTGGGAGGGATGAGAATGTTGGTGCCCACATTGCTGAACACCCTTAGGAGAGGTGCACAGTCCCATCCTGTGAGGTTGACTTGTCTTTCCAAACTAACAGTGTCAGGGAATCTTTTAATTCACATTCCAGCCATAGACCTTGTCACATCTGTCAGCGATACACACTGAAGTTTCAGCAGTGCAGAGAGGTGGCGTCTGTCCGTAGTGTCAGTGCACACCCGGAAACTGGGCAGCCCCTCAGTGCCAGCCCTTCCTGGGGGAGAGTTGGGTTGTGTCTCTCTGTGGGGCGTGTAGGTCATGCATGGTGACTCCCTGGAGTCCGAGGCCCCCAAGCACTGTGGGGACAGCAGCTGCGGGTCCCCTGGGAGACACGGGGCGGGCTCAAGGAGAGCATGGACTGGAAGGGTCGGCATCTGGGGGCGATGGCCAAAGAGGCTGTCAAGAAACTCCCTGAGAGCAGCACAGGGTAGCAGTTGAAATGTATAACAATGCCAGGTGTGCTGTGCTTCCTAAAGTAGGTTCCTCTTAGGGGAAAAACTCTCAGAATCGTTACGTTTATGTACCTTTATTTGGGTTATTTGGAAAATGAGTTTATACTTCATTCCCTGCCTGTGGTCAATGAGCTTTGCTGCCGTCTGTGACACATTATTCACTTTATTTGGCTTGTAAATAGTGACTTTTTTTTACCTTGGTTA